TCATTGTCATACATTTGTTTTACTGTTGAAAATTGATTTGTTTTGATCACTACTCATTCATGTATAAATGTTTTGTTTTTGTCATTTTAGATTTGTGTGGTTTAATCGTGTTGATTGAATTGAAGAAACCGTACAATATTATGGACTCCTCATCTGAATCACAAGGTATGTGGTAATGTTTCAAAAATTTTTTCATCATTTAAGCTATTGCAATAGTGTTCATTCCATGGCTGGTTTAAACTAACTGCTGTGGATTTCGTTGACTGGTGAAGCCATGTTTTGGTTTGACCACCACGTGCTAGCTCTTTTCCAGCCTGACTGACCCTATGTCAACTAACATTGCCCGTTGTCGAGGAAGGCGATGACTAGGCATACGTAACACGTGTCCTAACCATCTCAGTCGATGTAATTTCACAGCCTCGTCGATTGATTTTCCCCTCCACCTACCTAGGACGCAACGCCTAACCTCAATATTGCTCACCTTATTACACCTACCACTTCACACGAGAGATAGAGCGCAGACACCTATGATCAAAGACAGCTAATATTTTCATGTCCTCCACTCACAATGACCAGGTCTCACAGCCATAAAGGATGACGGAGCGAACTGCTGAGCAGTACATCCACTTTTTAGTTAACAGCCAGCCGGATATCACGTCTACGCCAGAGATGGTGGCGTAAACTGGCATATGTGAAACTAGCCTTCTGTTTTCGTGCAGAGATTTCGTCAGCGGTTAATCCGTTAGCGTTGGCTGATGCAGCTTCTCAAATAAGTGAAGTGGTCAACGCGCTCTACCACTTCATTACTTATTTCTAAGGTAGGAGTGAGTCAATGTAGTCCAGTCCCGTAACTTTGTGCGAACTGGTAATATTTTGCGTTTCTTTTTATTTTCCTCTCTGGCTTTGTTTGCTGAATGGAGTGTGGCGACTTGAGCTGCTGTACACCGGTGCAAAGTTCTATGTTGAAACTAGACAGATAGACAGACAGAATTGGTAAGTGATTCTCTGTTTGTACCTCGAAGAGCATAAATTGCACAATGTGAATTAATTTGAGAATTACGACTTTGGTTTAAACTTGCTCGATTTGTATTGATGTATTTTATTTTATTTTTTTGATTTACAGCTTGTACCATTATCCCTGATTGTCATAGAAACTAGTTATTATTATTTTCCTTTCTATTATAAACAGAAGGATTATCGATGTTTTGTTTCGCCCTAATTTCATTTCTAATCAACTTTTCCTTTTTCTTCTAAAAAACTGAGATCATTTTCATGTGTGTGTTTTAATTTCAAATAGAATTACAACAAAAGTTAAAAAGTCTTAAAAAGCATATTGATTCTATAACAAGACAAATTACAGAATTGAACAATGAACGACAAGAGCTTCAAGCAGAATATGATAAGGTGAAATTTTCTTATTATATGATTACGTAATGCCTTTGTTTTGATATGTGTAACCTGATAAATTTATTTGTATGTCTACTAGTAGTTGAGATATACGTGGGAACAAGACAGTAGACGAGGTGAATAATACAAGACAGTTTTCTTCTACTCTTATAACAGACGGTTGTAGGCGATTGACAGACAAGTCATCAAATTGTGCTTCGTGTATCTATTGACATTCGCCAATGAATACTATTCACAACCGTGAAGGAATTGGTTCCAATTCACATTACTCATTTTTGTAGTCATTGATGTTACCATTGATTATGTTTACCTCGCGACTGACGTTTTGTGCGAGTGTCTCTGTCTGTCTGGATTCAACATAGAACTTGGCACCGAAGTGCAGCAGTTAGAGTTGCCACGTTCCAAATAGCACACAAAGGTAGACAAGAAGATGAGTGAAGAGAATTAATAGAGTTTGACAAGTATAAGAGTGAAACGGAATGGGTAATGGTAGAAAGGAATATGAAAGATTACAGAGACTGAATACATCTGCGCCGTTGACAACGGTTTTGAGCCATGTCACCTATTGTCTCCAGTCATTGATTCCTAGAGTCAGTCCCGAGGGCCCCAACCGGGAAGTCTGCATCTGCCTGCCTGACTCAGTTTAGCTGTCAAAGATTTCATGGATTGATGAGGCCATGTTTTTGTTTGGCCACCACTTACTCTTTTCCAACCTGCACCTATATCATCAGCTAGTAATGCCCGTCGGGGGAGGCGATGGTTAGGCATGCGCAGCACTTGACCTAGCCATTTAAATCTATGTAACTTTATAGCCTCGTCGATTGATTTTCCCTCTTTGCCCAACACTCTACGCCTAACGTCAACATTACTTACCTTATTATACCACCACCTAACTTGAGAAAGAGATCGCAGACATCTATGATCGAAAGCAGCCAACCTTTTCATGTCTTCAACTCGCATTGGCCATGTTTCAGAGGCATATAGAAGGACGGAGTGAACTGCTGAGCAGTACACACATCCCTTGGTTGATAACCAGCCGGATGTCACGCCTACGCCAGAGATCGTGTAAGTCAGGGAAAGCAGCTCGAGCTTTTTGGATCCGTGCTGAGATTTCGCCGCCAATCAGTCCATTGGTGCTGATACAACTTCCCAAATAGGTGAAGTGATCAACATGTTCTATCACTTCACTCCCTATCACTAAGCTAGGAGTTGACGTAGTCCAGTCCTGTAGCAGCATCTTACATTTTGTAGGGGCGAATCGCATGCCAAACATATGAAGATTGCTGCTCAAGGTGTTCAGAATACTCTGCTGGATTTTGTCAGCATCCTCCCCTAACAGGACTATGTCATCTGCATATTCTAAGTCCATAAGACTATTTATTCCCTGGTAACAAGTCGATTCCTAAGTTGTTAAGTTCAGTTAAGGATACTTCCATTAGCATATCTATGATGAAGTTAAACAGAAATGGGGAAAGTGGACATCTTTGTAGGACACCACTGGTTGTTACCAATTCAGCTGACAATTCCCCATAAGCCCTTACACGGCTACGTGAGTTTGAATAGAGTGCCTTGATTAGTGCTATGTACTTTCTTGGCACTCCCTTCACAGTCAAACATTGCCATAGTACCTTTCGATCCACGGAGTCGAAGGCTGCCTTCAAGTCAAGAAATATGGCAATTGTTGGACGCCGAAAAGTGTGTCTATGTTCTAGGATCTGTCGGAGAGTGAAGATATAATCTATGCTTGTGCGAGTGTAATGATGAATGTGTTGATTGGCTGTTTGAGCTTCCCTAGTGTAATTTTTTTGGTAATAGTTTGATTCCACACCGAATTTTTGATGCAAGTATGCAATTTTCTGCATTTTGCAGGCCGACTAGTTGATATCAGGTGTGCGTCGGCAGGGGATCGAACCCCGAACCATGTGCATGATCGACGATAGTCTTAACCTCTGTGCCACCGACGCACATGCAATCGACAGGAACCTTTGGACCTAGGTTTCGTACTTGTTGTGTGTGTCTGTGGTCCTGAAGGAACTAATGTCCACACTGGGGGGTCGAACCTGGGTCACCTCATGCTGCAGTCAGAAATGTTACCACCACTGAGTTATTTGGGCTCACGATTAACCTCCAGTAGGAATTTGATATATACTTTGATTGGACACTAGGTACTAACTAATGTGATGTTGTCTAATCGATAGTGTTCACTTCTATCACTTTAATCTATTCTACAGGTAAGAATAAGAGATGGTAACAAATTGTTTTACCGAGCTTTTCACATGTGTAGTGGAACCACAGAGTGACATCAAGTGTAGAACAAGAAGTGTAAATCAGTTAGAGAACCACTGGAAAACGTGGGAGTGCTGAATGGCTGTTTCGTCATAGTACTCTCAGGTTTTCCAACGGTTCTCTAACTGATGTGAGCTCATGATGAAATCCTTCAACCAATCAAACAAAGTCCCGACAAAACCAATACTTGAAAAGGTAAATTAAATGATGGGTTTGCTAAATGTGGAATGTGATACCTCTGAAATACATGTCGCGTATAGCAAACGGGTTAGTGGAGTAATGGCTCATCCGCTTAGGCACTCAACTTTCAACCAGCGAGTCGAGAATTTATAGCCCTTCTCCACTTACCTAGGTCTAGGCAGTTAGGTAGTTTCATTACACACACACACACACACACACACATACTCAATAAAGGAGGCTCATCGCTAACTGCATGGAATTGCAAGTAGTTTTTGAGTAGCATTCCATTCCTTCATATGACTATGAGATATTCGTATAACTCAGTCTGAAGAGTTGGTTAGTGTGACTAATTCGAAATGTATCATAAGTCACTGAAATGGCTGTTTGTCAGTGTGCGATCATGTAATAATAAATAAATAAATAAATTTTCAAGTATCTGTTTTGTAGGGATTTTGTTTGATCGGTTGGAGGATTTCATCATGAGCTGACATCAGTTAGAGAAGCATTGAAAAACCAGCTGGGAGTACTGGACTGTTGCGTACTGCTGAAAAGTCCCAAACTAGACTGACGAAACGACTGTCCAGTACTCCCAGCTGGTTTTCCAATTGTTCTCTCACTGTTCTCAGCTTATGATGAAATCCTTCAGCCAATGAAATAAATAAATAAATATCTTTACTCGGTGTTTATACAGTGTTCAGAATTCTCAGCAAAATTTATTGCATGATATTTTCCCCTCACCCAGGATCTTTAAGTAAACTAGCAGTCTATAGTATATATGTCACGTGACGAAATACTTTTAGATTTCAAGTCTAGACTAATCCCTTATGATATTTCTCCTTCATCTCCGCGACGTGCGCACTGCACTGGTAGTTTGAAAACCAAGTGAAAGTGTGCACTGAGTACATTTTGTGACTAAACGACACAGCTGAAAGGTTAAGACAATAAGAAGTAGAGAAAACTTTGTTAGGTAGCGCTGTGATTCAAGTGAACCGCCAGCTTGTCTTTATTGTTTATCTATACTAAAGTGTATAGTATAGACCATCGATAGTTTGCTTCAAAACTGTTTAGAGTATTTCATTCATAGAAAACTTTTCGAGTACTTCTTATTCTGCTTTCTTCTTCTATAGTTGAAATCCCAACTGCAAACAGTTCGTATTCAAGAGATTTCAAGAGATTGTCAAAGTGCATCGTCTGAGTATGCTTCAACAAAAGCTACACCCAAGATATTCCCTTGGACAGATGAAGTGAATCGTGTGAAGAAAGAAATTTTTGGCATTTCTGAATTTCGTCCTTTACAAATTACAGCTATTAATGCTTTATTAGATGGTCGTGATGTTATCTTAGTCATGCCTACAGGTATACATTTTTCTCATATGCATATATTATATTTGTGAGTAGTTTTTTTAAAGTATTGGTTTACAGGGATCTGATTGATCCAGTTCAGACCCCAAACTGACATTATTTAGAGAATTTTTTGATAACCAGGGGAGTACTGGATAACTGTTTCGCCCTGGTTACGGATTCCTCAGCAGTGCTCATTCATGACCACATCATGATTGGAATCTAAAACCTTCAGGTTACAAGGCGAGTTCGCTAACCACGTGGATGTCAGGATGGGACCGAATAATCCGTCAATTCTAGCTTCTTTTGATTCGCGATATACATTGTGACCAGCATTCTATGTATATTGGCGAGTGTTTCTTCTCATCGCATGCAACTTTATTGACCCTGCTGGCCACTTCAGTTAAATTCATCCTGTAATCACTCACTAGTGAGCACTATTTAACATTTGCTTGCCATCAGCCTGTTGTTTTGTTTCGTTTAATCTTAGTTCTTGGAACACATCTGGCTATGAGCTACACTTATTGTGTGAATGCTGGTTATATCACTCAATTGCTCAGGTTGAAGTAGGTAGAGCGGGTTTTGGGCGAAGTTAAATTTTAAACACCGCTAACTACCAATCAAGGATTGACACTGAACTCACCAATCACATGAAGGAGGCGTTTTTGGTTATGGAAAACATATATTTATGAAAAAAATGCATAAAATCTGCATAAAACTGTTACACAGGATACCATCCTCTGACATGTGATAAAGAAGATCTCCTAGTTGAGCGTCGGAGTAGCAACTAGGAAGTTACACCACATTCTATACATGTATTCATCTAAATCATTATAAATTACATAGTTTTGAGATTCGTTAATGGCCCTTATCCTGTTTTTAACCTTTCCCAATAGCCTTCTATAGAACTGATGTGTATCCGTGTAATGGGATCCACCAAATCATTAGAATGGTTCAGTATGTAATGAATCTATCCAAGGGGATCGCAGGTAGTTATAACCTTTCCACTAATCCACGTGTACGACGGCACCTTCTCCTCTTAATAATGATATCTCTTCAGTGCTGGTACCACTGAACTATTTTCTCTGTTTCAGTACCTATACCTGTCACAGGCTGTTTTAAAATCCAGTAACTACAAATATACAAAATCTGGGTTGAGGTCAAGTGGGGCGTGGCAAAATATGTTCCTACGAAATATTAGAGTCATCAGCTTGCCTTCCCTGACATTTAACTCGAATCAAGGGGAGTAAGACCTTCAACTCATGTGAATGAAAGTCATTGGGCCATTCAAGGTCATTCGCCGATTGGTAGTCAGTGGTACCTAAAGTCTAACTTGGTCGGGTTTTGAGCCCCAGGACTCAGTGGACTGGTGTAGAATTGGGTTGTTGGGTTCTGTCCTATTTGTCAGTGGTTGACTGAGTGGTCAGAAAGTTTGCCTTATAACCCACAGGTCCTGGATTCGATCCTTGGTGAGGTTGTCGGCGCGCACCGCTGAAGAGTCCCAAGCATGACTGAAACAGCTGTTCACTACTCCCTAATTAGCAATCGTTCTCTCTCTGAAGTAGGTTTTTGATTGACCATTATGTCCTGGTTTTGTTTCCTCCACAATTCATGGACACATTCTACTAAAAGAGTGCTAAACTTATAAGAAACAGCTGTTTAACGCTTCTCGACTTTTCATCTGTGATTGTATATCTAGCGGTATCGTTTCGTCATCTGCAGACCTTACAGTGTTGGCTTTCGCTTTATGTTTGCTTTCTACAACATTTACGTTTTCTTTTTAGGTGCTGGAAAAAGTTTAGTCTACCAATTACCGGCACTACTTAATCTCGATGCATTTAAAGTAGACGGACGATGTTTTGGTTCAGTTACACTGGTGATTAGTCCATTAGTCTCTTTAATGGTAGATCAATCGATCAATTTAACAAAATATGGTCTTGAGCCAGATACAATCGCTGTTTTGGATGCAAGTACACCATTACCAGAACAACGTAGAATTCTTTCATTGCTTGCAGAGAAACCGGTCAGTTGGTTTTTTAAAATTATTATTATGTTTTTGAATACTATTCTGATTGATTGATTGATTTGTCCACTGGGTGAGAGGTGTTCTTTCAAGTTGTGTTATGCCATGGGATGTTGCTGCATACCGTTTTGTTCTTACAAGAGGCTGGGATGTGAGTGTGTTCTTTTGCCCTGAAAACCAATGTAAAAAATTACTCAGTCGACTGGTGTAAAAATATATGAAGAGTCGGTAGTTCAGTAGTAGGGGTGCTCGTCAATCACGTAAGTAGCCTGAGTTCGAATCCTAGCAGGCGCTTAATCGACAGTAATCCCGGTAGAGAGTTAAGTTAGAGGATGAGGCTAACAATCCCACTGTGTGTGAAACAAGCACTACCGCTAATGAGACTTCAAAGTTCGAGCTTGATGCCCTATGCTACCAGGGAATAAACTTGTTGACTTAGTATATGCAGACGATATAGTCCTTCTAGGCGAGGACGCTGACAAAATGCAGAGTCTTCTGAACACCTTGAGCTGCAATCTACGAATGTTTGGAATGCGATTAGCTCCCGCCAAATGCAAGATGATGTTACAGGACTGGACCACACTGACTCCTAGTTTACAAATAGGGAGTGAAGTGGTAGAGCACGTTGACTGTTTCACTTACTTGGGAAGTACCATCATCCACAACGGGTTGATCTCTGACGAAATCTCCGCACGGATGCAGAGGGCTAAATTCGCATATGGCGTAGACGTGATATCCGGTTGGCTATCGACAAAACGGCGAGTGTACTGCTCATCAGTCCGCTCCGTCATCCTTTATGGCTGTGAGATCTGGTCATTGTGAGTGGAGGACATGAAAATATTAGCTGTCTTTGATCATAGGTGTCTGCGCTCTATCTCTCGTGTGAAGTGGTAGGTGTAATAAGGTGAGCAATATTGAGGTTAGGCGTTGCGTCCTAGGTAGGTGGAGGGGAAAATCAATCGACGAGGCTGTGAAATTACATCGACTGAGATGGTTAGGACACGTGTTACGTATGCCTAGTCATCGCCTTCCTCGACAACGGGCAATGTTAGTTGACATAGGGTCAGTCAGTAGTATTTTCCATATTTCGGGAAGATCAACAATGACCAAAGGAAAAATAATTGTGAAACTAGTAATAATAACATAAATGAGAGAGAATATAAGTCATCCACAGTTATACCATATAAAGAGGGGACATCTGAGACACTACGTAGGATTTTTTAAATAAAGCAGGAATTAGACTGGTGGCATTCAAACCTACAAACTCACTCAGACAGAGATAAGCTCTGTAGGTTAAAAGACCCGGTGGACCCAATTAGACAAAATAATATTATTTACAAAATATCCTGCAATGACTGTGAGTTAGGTCAACTACATAGGTCAATTGATATAAGTATAAAACTTGGGCACTGTGGTAGAGTATAATTCCATTATAGATAAGATTTTATTTTGATAAATCGCACAGTGTTTACAGTTATATGAACTGATGACGTTTCGAGCACAAACTATTGCTCATAATCATATCAAGTTACTCACACAACTTTGATCTCTCATTTATATACATATGTGGAATGGATTAGATATTGGATTAAAAATCAATGTGAGATAATGTACATTCAGAAATAATCGTACGAGTGTTGTTGATCAATTGCAATTAGATGGGAAAATTGGACGAGTGTTTTTACAGTCATAATAAGCTGCTTGTTAGAATGTGTTTGAATTGAAATAGAATTTTAAGATTATTTATTATCTTCTTCTGGTTTGACTGATGGCATTAATACGAGTGTTATTGATCTACTATAATCAGATGGAAGATACGACGAGTGTTTTAATAGTCATAATAAGTTTTTTGTTAGGATGTTGTGATGTGTTTGAATCGAAATAGAATTTTAATATTATTTATTACCCTCTTCTGATTTGACCTGCGGTAATAATATCTTCCATATCTCTGGTATTTGCATTGAGTCATTTTTGTTGCATGTGTTGGGTGTGGACTCGATAAATAAGGATTCCGTAATCAACCTCTCTCTCCACTTAGCTATATTACTTTTTAGAATTTTAACCCTATCCCACCCTATTGTGTGGTTGTTTGTTATTGCATGAAGTGCAATAGCTGAGCTTTTTTCTAAATTACTTATCTTTTTAGGGTCAACCATTCTTACCTTAGCTAAATTCTTATGTTCTGTTAATCTGACTATCCCTGACCTACTAGTTTGACCTATGTAGTTGACCTCACAGTTATTGCAGGGTATTTTGTAAATTATATTATTTTGTTTAATTGGATCCACCGGGTCTTTTAGCCTACAGAGCTTGTCTCTGAGTGAGTTTGTAGGTTTGAATGCCACCCTAATTCCTGCTTTATTAAGAATCCTACGTAGGGCCTCAGATGTGCTTTCCTTATATGGTATAACAGTGGATGACTTATATTCTTTCTTATTTGTGTTATCATTAATAGTTTCACCATTATTTTTATTTTGCTTTTGGTTTTTGGTGATCTTCCTAATGAATTTTATAGGATAGTTATTCAACACCAACGCTTCTTCTATCTGTTTTATTTCATCATTTAGGTCTTTTTTTGTGCTACTTAGTGCTATGGCTCGATTTGTTAGACACTTTACTAAGCCTGCCTTAACAGTTAACGGATGAGACGAATTAAAGTCTAAATATCTATTAGAATGCGTTGGTTTTCTATAAACACTAGTGTGTAGTTTGCCTTCTTCTATTCGTTTTATTTTACAATCTAACATAGCTAATTCTCCTAGTTCATTTTCTGATTCAAATGTGAATTTAATTCCTTCTACTTGTGAGTTTATATGTGTCAGGAAGCTAGAGATATGTTCTGTTTTTAACACCGTGAAAGTGTCATCCACATATCTCCACCATATTTTTGGAGTGGGGTTAAACGTATTAAGAGCACTACTTTCCCAGCTGTCCATAAATATGTCTGCTACAATAGGGGATATTGGTGATCCCATTGCTACACCTTCTGTTTGTTTATATATTTTGCCTTGGAACTTAAAGATGGTAGATGTGAGACATAACTGAATCCCTAACATAATTTGTTCAATGGGCAGCTTTGTCCTATGATTCAGTTCAGGATCCGCAGTTAGTTCTTTTTTAACTGCTTCTAAGGCCATAATGACTGGTATATTAGTGTAAAGACTAGTTATATCAAAACTAACCATTTTTTCATCATTCTCTAGTTGAATGTCATTTAGCTTACTTTTCATCTCATATGAATTAGTTAGTCTAGAGTTTGAGCGATTTCTAATGGGACAAAGTATTAGAGCTAAGTGTTTTGATAATTCATAAGTGGGAGTATTTCTAAAATCTACTATTGGTCTTATGGGGTAACCTGGTTTATGTATTTTAATAGTACCATATATTCTACTAGTATTATTAGTTTTAGGCATTAAAGTAAACCATTTAGACTCACCCAGTGACGGCTTCATTCTCCGTATTAATTCCGCTGTAGATTTCTTTACCTTATTCATTATTGTATCTACAGGCTTCTTAATTTCCTCATATGGACCCGTTTCAATATGTTCACTGACTTTCTTGATATAGTCAGATTTATTCAGAACTACGGTGGCGTTTCCTTTGTCCGCTTTTGCGATGACAATATTTTTATCCTGTTTTAGACTAATTAAAGCTTCCCTTTCTGATTTTGTTAAGTTTGATCTTGCCTTCTTTTGATTTTTCAGGGTTAACGCACATTGTGCTCTAACCTCTTCTGCTGTTGTCTTGTCTATTGAACCTAGTGCTGCTTCTATGTTAGGAATAACGTCCTCTGGTTTTAATTTATTAACTGTTACGTTAAAATTTAGTCCTTTCTCAAGTACTTTTATCTCACTAGAGCTTAGTTCTCTTGATGAGAGGTTGATCACCCATTTTGTTCTGTCGATAGAGGATGAAGTGTTGACATCAATTTCATTTGTTGTGTTCTTTTCTTCCATTAGTTTGTTGAATTTTTTGATTTGTGTGGTTTTTGATTTTCTTAAGGCTGATTCTCTAGCTTTTTCGGATGTTTCAACAACGATTACATAATCTTTGTCATTGACCATACATTTGAGTTTCTGTTTGAGTTTTTCGATTTCATTTCGTATATTATTTAGTTTCACAGTAACTCGATGTAGTTCTTCTCTTAGACATAATCTACTGAGATGTTCAGCTGCTGATGATATTTTCCTTGAAGCAATTGGAGTGCGTATGCGTAAATATTTTGGAATTATATGATTTTTTAAACATCTACTATTAAAAATCCGGTGGTTTGTGAATCTTGCTTCTGTTTGACAAAGTCGTGTGAGTTTATTGATAAGCTTCCTTATAGGAAGACCATATGTATTATTGATATAAGTATAAAACTTGGGCACTGTGGTAGAGTATAATTCCATTATAGATAAGATTTTATTCTGATAAATCGCACAGTGTTTACAGTTATATGAACTGATGACGTTTCGAGCACAAACTATTGCTCATAATCATATCAAGTTACTCACACAACTTTGATCTCTCATTTATATACATATGTGGAATGGATTAGATATTGGATTAAAAATCAATGTGAGATAATGTACATTCAGAAATAATCGTACGAGTGTTGTTGATCAATTGCAATTAGATGGGAAAATTGGACGAGTGTTTTTACAGTCATAATAAGCTGCTTGTTAGGATGTGTTTGAATTGAAATAGAATTTTAAGATTATTTATTATCTTCTTCTGGTTTGACTGATGGCATTAATACGAGTGTTATTGATCTACTATAATCAGATGGAAGATACGACAAGTGTTTTAATAGTCATAATAAGTTTTTTGTTAGGATGTTGTGATGTGTTTGAATCGAAATAGAATTTTAATATTATTTATTACCTTCTTCTGATTTGACCTGCGGTAATAATATCTTCCATATCTCTGGTATTTGCATTGAGTCATTTTTGTTGCATGTGTTGGGTGTGGACTCGATAAATAAGGATTCCGTAATCAACCTCTCTCTCCACTTAGCTATATTACTTTTTAGAATTTTAACCCT